TAGGTCAAGTTAAGCTGGGCTAGAGGATCATTGTGGCTTTTGCACTTAGGGGTAAGCATTGATCAGTTAAATCTAAAAACTAAACCAAAACTTTTGGTTTCATTTTTTTAAGTGAAAAAGTAGGAAATAAAGTGGATTTGAATCACTCTAAACCCAAGATCACCATGCATTACTTGACTATTTTTAATTTTTATTTATTTTATACTTGTAAATTGCCCAAAATACAGCTTCCAATTAATATGATTTTTTTGGTGGAAAATCTGCTAATAATGCCATTCCAACTAGCTAATTGATTCCTCCAAAGAAAATCACACTGCTCCCTTTCTTTGTAGTTTTTTAGCACTCAGTTTAGAATTAATTGGGCACTAAAATAGTGCAGTTCTATTTCTCCTTTAGGTCTAGTCAAAATCTTATCTCTGAACCCTCTAAATATCTCATATATTAAGAGAAGCAGAGCTCTAAGGGGGGTGTGAGATCCTATTAGGGTTTCCATCCTTAAGGATTAGGGTTTCTCAGGAAATACTCTATCTCTCTACTCTTGGATTGAAATCTTCCACCTACTTTCTCTAAATTGTGGTTAGGGTTAGAAAGACTTCTTAAAACTGCAACAGTGTTGAATTGCACTTTTTAGTTAAGTCCTTAAGTCTTGAAAATTATCACATTAACCTTTACATGCAAAGTAAAAAGATAATTAAATCATTTTGCACAAGTGTTCGAATCTGACTAGGAAACCACATAAAGAGTTATTATTTTAACCAACCACTATATATTGGATTTAACCAAGAATTTTTCTCTAACTAGAAAACCTCATTAGATTTAATTTCTTGCTTTGAAACTATTTTAAGGTAATTGCTAGCAATTAATCCCCCGGGTATATTGAGGATTCCCAAATCAATTAGGACAGTATAAGACAAGCTCTTGAAATTTCTGAGTCCTAGTGCCGCAAGGACTCTTCCCATCTTCATTCCAAAGGCTTCCGAGTGGAATACTAGAGTCATAGTTCAACTAGGATTCCTCCCAGGTGTTTCAATTCAACTAAGATTCTCCCACACTCATTTTGGCATTACCTAAGGACTCATATAGGAGTATTATTGTCACTAGGATTTCTCCACCAAAGTCCTAGTCTAATTAGGATTCTTAGGTAGAGTCCTGATTTGAATCAACTACTTGGTAGTGACACTTTCATATTGTATGTAGAAGTACTCAAGATTCGAATTATTGATCCTATGTGTTTTGATGATGATAAATTCATTAAGAGTACTAATATTTGTGTAGCTATAGAAAATGAATCCTTAATTGAACTCAAGAGACTTGATAAAGCAAATGATGATATGCAGCACAAAGGAGCAGCAAAATCAAATGATGGAACTCCCCAAGCCAAAAAATGCAAAAATAGATGCTACCATGACAACATAAGAAGGAAGAAGAAGAAGACATCAAGTGCTAATAGTTTCTATGTGTTTTATTTATATAAGACTTGATGTAATCATTTGCAAGATGCACAACATTAGGCTTAATTATAACTAACCTCAACATTACCAAGACCCTAGAGACCAATGGTTAAACTAATTTTAGGTGGCCAGGCTTTCCCCAAACTTTATCTTAGTGTGAAAGCTTAAGGAGTCAATTTCCACACTCTTAAGTGTCATAGGCTAAAATTTTCTAATTAAAGTTGGTCATATTTTATAGTCAACTGTTAGTAAGGCAGTAATCAACTACTTGTGACAATTGAGATTGGTGTTATTAAGTAGTCAATTACTCATAGAGCAATAGTTTGCTACCTATGACAGTTAAGCTTGGTGTCACATTGGCCCTAACTAGTAATCAACTAATGAGAAAGGGATATGTAACTATCCTTGATGGCTGAAAAGTTAAGTGCATGAGTAGTAACAGGTCATAGTTGACTATTAGAGAGAAAAAAAATCTTTTTCATGAATAGTAGCCAATTACCTAAGACTATTAGTTGACTACCTACTCATGGCAAGCAAGGTTCCAATTATTGAAAATGCTAAGTGGATTAGAAAAACAAATTAAGAGGCATATCAAGATATGCCTTAGATGCGCATGGATATAAACAAATTTTTAAATAAGTAATTAAAAAATTATAATTATTAATAAATATTCAAAATTTCAACATTTAGTGTAATTTACATTAATCATTGTAATTTAATAAATTTTCTTTACAATTTTATAATAATAATTTATTGATAAAAGATATTACTAATTAGCGTAATTTGCTAATTTTATAAAACCGATAACTATAGTTAACATTTAGCAAATTATTTAGGGAAACTCTTTAACTAATAATCCATAATAATCCATTATTATTATTCAACTAAATAATTATTAAAATATTTAGGAAAATTAAATTAAGAAATTAATCTATCAGAAATTGTTTCATAATTATTTAAATAATAATCCATTATTATTATTTAAATAAATAATTATTAAATAATTTAGGAAAATTATTAAGTCTATCCACACCATTTAAACAACAAATGGTTTTATGTTGATTAACAACAAAAATGGTTTACTTTTAATTAAAAGTAATGTGATTTACCAAAATTACATTAATTTACTATAATTACATTTACTTTGATTAATAGTAAATAATTTAGGCTTAAAAATTAAATAATTTACATTAATTTATTGTTATTGTAAATAATTAATTTACTATACTTACTACTAATCAATAACAATTTCAATAATTTTTTGAAAATCATCATAAAATATTTTAATTTATTGTTATTTAATTGGTTATAGAAAATTATTATAATTGTAGAGATGACAATTTTCCTTGTAAAACTAGGGCCCAAACCTGCCCCACCCTGAACAAGGGCGATGGACAAGGAGGGCCCTATCCCATGCATCGCACGACCCCCACTAATTATATATATAGAAAAAGAGGGTGGGACGAAGAGAGTAATGCAAGGACATTTGGACAAATAAAGGATAGGGAAAATTTCTGATCAGTACCCTGTACTTTGGCTCGAGTGACAATTTGGTCCCCAAACTTTAAAATGCAACAATTTAGTACCTGAACTTTTGAAATGTGACAATCTAGTACCTGTCGTTAAGTGGCATATGAAAAGACACAAATGCCCTTCAAGTGTTATCTAATTTTCTTTATCAACCGTCCACTAAAATTAGAACCAACCGTCAAATTTTTCATCCCTTTTAATTTTTACCTCTATGAGATATCAACCAAATAGTAAACTGAACAAAACAAGAATGATCTATTAAGAGAGGGGGGGGGGATTGAGAGAGTATGGATTGAAACACTATAGTACTACGCATTTTGGAACTTGGAAGGGCCAAGCCTGTAATTCTTTATTTTCATTTGTGACCTATTTTTTCGGTAGTTTCATTTGTGGCCCAACACAATGACACAACAATGCAAAGCAATTTACATTTTTGAATTGGGTACTAGTCAGGTAGTCAACTAGATTTTCCACATAATCCAGCGGTCTTCGACCCTACAACTCACTTTCTCTCCTCTACCCGTTTGAGAGAAGACATGAAACCCTATAATTAGTCCCTTGAAAGAGAGAGACAGAAAGAGAGAAGATGGCTTGGTTAACCATGGTTTTCAAAACCGGATTGGATTGGACGGTTGGACCAGAAAAAACTGGGTCCAATTTGGTTTTTCCCTAAAACCGCTTTTTCCCCAAAATTGTTGATTTTGGTCAGCAAACCGCTGAACCAGCTGGTTAACCGATCGATCTATTCGAATAGTTTTGACCGTTTTTCAGTTTTTTTATTTTTTTTTTATTTTTTTGTCAGAAAGGGCTTGTTGTTCGGGTCAAACGGTCGGACCGTTCAAACCGGTAACCGGCCCCCTGACTGGTTCAGTTTTAAAAACCATGTGGTTAACTCAACTTCTAGTGGCTGTACCATTCCTTGCAATAAGGGTTCTTTTCTCTTCCGAAATCCTTGGATCAAAATCAGATGGTGGATATTCGTTGACGCTATACTTCTCTTTGAAGCTCGCACATCTCTTGTGTTTCTCAGTTTCTTTTGACACAACTCTTTTGGGTTACCTTTATCGGCATAATTGTCATGTTCAAGTATGTTAACCCCTACTTCTCTCGTCTCCCACTCTATCTCTTATTTAATCCCAAAATTTCCATCCTTCTAGTAACTATAGACTATGGTATGAATTCTGATAAAAAATCTAAAACTTGTTCATCGATTTATCAATTACTTGTTTCTTTCTTGTTCTAGGAATCTTCTGAGGCACCAATTCAGTAACTTGTAGAGCAAGATGTTTCCAACATATTTCTTGATGGTTGGGGTCTGTTGTGCAATATCTGTGGCATCCTTCGAGTACCTCCATCTGTGGCGCTCATTGTCCTCTGAAGAAAGACATCAACTTGGGTTTTTGATATCTTCCTTCGCCTTCAATCTCGCCAATTTGTTCATGCCCAGAACCATCGAGGTAATTCATCAGTGATAATAGTGTGAATTCAATTAATCAATCAAGGGTATTTTTATCTTGAAATGATGATCTAGACTGTTGAGAGGTTGTGCTGGGTTTTCATCTTCTTGAGGAATAAGATGATGAACAATGTATTTTATTTTTAAGGGTAATTTTGATATTTTCAAAAGCCTTAAATTGCACATAAGATCACGTGATATACATAATTGACGGTTCATTAATGCCAGATGCTAGATTGTCGCATTCCGAAAGTTCAAATACTGGATTATCACATTTTAAAGTTTGAGGACCAAATTGTCACTCCAACCAAAATACAGAGTACTGGGAATCTTCCTTAACGATAAAGATATATTATCAATTTAACTTTTATGGATTGCACCAAAGCCAAAGGCAAGTATGCCCTTTATATATAATATTTAATGAAATTCGGTTTAACTGAAATAACCGAAATCTGTTTTGTAGTAATTCGGTTTCGGTTCGATTTTTATCCAAATTTCGGTTTATTCGGTTCGAACCGAATGTTCACCCCAGCACTTAAAGCTTCAAATCGCAATTGACGAGGAGATTGAAGAGAGAGGAGCCATTAGTCATGGGCAATGCTCAGTCACCCTCGATTGATCCACGCTTCACTTCGGCCACTCGGTAAATCATCCTCATCTCCTCTCCTCTTCTCTCCACTCTCTCATTGATTGTCTTTCTTTCTTTCTTTCTTTATTTTTTGTTGTTTCAGCTCTTTCACTCAAAACGAGCTCGAAAATCTAAAATCTCTCTTTGTGTCCCTTGCCGCCCAATCGCAAAGCAATTGCAAATTCATCTCTCCCTCTGTTTTTAAGGTGAATTTTTAAGTCCTCCGTCCTGTAGTTCAGTGCACATGATTCATTTGTTTGAAATGTTCTATGTTTATCTCAATTGTAGATTTCCTTCGTTTCTATTTCACTCCTGGGTGATTTTTTTTATTTAATAGGCGTATTTTAGAATTCCTGGGTCTCTTGGGCAGAGAATGTTTGATTTGGTCACGCAGAAGCGAAACGATCAGGAACTCACTTTTGAGGATCTTGTAATTACTAAAGTAAGCTCTTTTCTACTCAAAATGTTGTAATGGATTGTGGCTTGTCTTTTTATCCTCACCGTTTTTCTTAAAGTAACTGAAGCTATGATGTTTCTTTTTCTTTTTTTTTTTTTGTGGTTCATTTCTTCTCTATGTTTTAATGGTATTTCTGTTGCAAATTGTTGCAATCAAACTCGGTTCAACCTTGTTTTTCAACATACATTTTATAACCAGACTAATTGAAGTTCTTGGAAGGACAAGAGTGGTTGCACTTAAAAGCACAGGAATGTAATATCTTTATTTTGTAATTTGTTGGCATGATAATTGACCTATGGCTGTATTTCATATTCTAGTGTTTGCATGGCAATATATATATATGTGTGTGTGTGTGTGTGTTAAATGTTCTTTTCGTCATCCATTTCTGCGGTTACTATTGTGCACTACTTTCGCACTACTCATCTTTTCATTGTAGCAATCCATGCCCAGTTCAAGGTCCTCTGGCATGATTGCCCCAACAGTTTTTGTGTTCGTTATTTTGTTTTTATATTTCAGAATTTTACCTTTTATCTATCATTTTCAGGTCTTACATTACTGTTCACAATATTTCCATGCCTATTAGGACTTCAGATTATTATTTTTTTTTTTCTTTTTGGGATGTTTTGACTCTGCAAACCAGATTGCCAGATTGACAATTTAATAATTCAGGTGTTTTGTTTAATTATCAATTTTTTTTTTTTTTATGTTTGTGGAGTGTTTATACTTAATAGTAGCCTGTTTGTACACTAGTACATATCTGTACTCTGTATATTTCTTTCACCAAAACCTTTTGCTACAAAATTTCATCAACTTCAGAGTGTTCTTCACAAGATTTTGGAGTTGGTAAACCTTTTGGAACTGGTAAAGTAAGATTATATTAATTACAAAAAGAAATACCTGTGTACAACAAGAGACTGTACATTGGGGAATGTGCAAATTGGATCACTATGCTCATTGTATATAATTACAAAAAAAAGGACCTCTGAATAAAAAAAAAAGCTGTTCTATGATCTTCCTTTGAACAAAAATTGTTGCCCAACCACGAAAATAACTTTCCTTTTATAATCTCTACCACCATGTGTGCTGCATCACATTTGTGCTCAAATATGCAAGAATCTCTCCTCTCACAAAAACACTGCTGTCGGATTACGAAAATAAAAGTAGTGTTGTCGGGGCCATGCTTCAGACTACCCTACTTCTTCTGCTCAAAGCTTTGAGATGCCATGCCTTCAAAAACATAAGAATTGTTTCTGGAGCAGTCTTACAGTCCAAAAATGTTTAATATCTGCTCTGCAACACTGAAACAAAGCTGTAATGAAGGAATATGTGATCTGAAGTTTCAATGCAGCTGGTGCAGAATATGCAGTTCAGGTTATCTACAACCATTCCCCTTTTCATGAGATTCTCAGTAGTTAGGTATTTATCTAAGGAAGTTGTAGAGAAGATGGGCCGAATGGCCCATAGGCTGTTTATCCTTTTTTATCTTTTATGTTCTTTGCTGTAATGGGTCTTAATCTGGGCTTTATTCTTTCTTATGTTATGTCTTTTTAATTCTCTGTCCAACTAGGGGCTTCTCTGTAAATTACTAAAGTTTAACTTAATGAAATAGAATTAAGGGTGTAAGAGAAGATATCATGTTCGAAAATCTCTTTCTGAACCCAAGTTGCCGCCACCTTCTTCTTCTTCTTCTTCTTCTCTTCTCTTGAACTCTGATTTCTGCTACTTTCTTTTGAATTTTTGCAACTTTCTAAACAGTCATTTCTTATCAAAAGGCTGTTTTTCTTCTTGGTATTAGAGCAGGCTCGTTTTTCCCTTTTTTTCACCTTTTTTTTCCCATACACAGTGTGTATGGAGAACTGAATCGTATGAATAGTTAAAGAAACCTATTTCAGCCTACTTATTAGTGGTTTCTGGAGAGAAGGGGACTGGTTTTGTCGTCCTCTTGACAGATTCAAGCGTGTTACCCAAAACCCTAATTTTCTGGAGAAATCTGATTGCGGCCCCACAAGGAGTTTGACCTGGGCGCTCAGTAATTGAAGGCCTTCTCATTCTTCTTCTTGAAGATCGAATCAAGTGGATTGGTGTTCTGTGAAGTCTACAAGGAGCGACTGAGTTTTCTCTGTTTCTCCCAGCCTCCGGGTGTGACGCAGGTTATTGGTACGGCTGTATAGAGGTTGGCTCACAACACAACTTTTGTTCTGTCTTCATTTGTTGTTATTCAAAGTTGTTTGAAGTCATTTTTGAAGTATTTACGAAGATGAACTCCTCAGACTTTGAAAACAAGCATGTTGCTGAATCCGGACAAGTTCTGGGAGCCTCTGTAGATTCTCTACTGGCTATGACCACAGTCAAGCTGGATGGAACTAATTATCTGGCTTGGTCACAATCAGTAAAAATTCATATTTGTAGTAGAGGCAAATGGGGTTTTATCTCCGGGAGCAAAAAGGCTCCTCCAGAAGATGATCCATCATATGAAAAGTGGATGCAAGAAAATTATACTGTTATTGGATGGCTTGTGAACTCAATGCAA